TGGTGTGTGTGTATGTGTGACTGTGTGGAATGCATTACTAAATGTACTGTATGCTTGGAAATATGCAGAGAAAATGTTGCAAGTACTGGTGACTTGATTTAGCTCACAGCTTCAAGATGAAAAACACAAAGGTTAAAGGGAACAACTGTTGCAGGAAACAAATTATGAAAGGAACCGCGATTACAGCATTTTACTTTGTAATTATGTGAATGTTATATTGTAGATTTTTCTCATTGTAAATGCATCCCATGAAAAGACCAAAACCAACAATGACAACAATAACAATCCTGCCTGTCTAGCCAAAGCCTGATACAGCTTATTTCTATTTGCTACAGAGCTCCTTTGTTTTCCAAAAACGATTAAAAAAACACATCAATGAACCACACTGTTGGACTGGGTGACACATTCCTCCATTATGATGAACATGGCCCCTGTAGTTTACTTTGAGTCAATTCCACATACATAATCCTGGTGCCATAAATTGTTACTAAAGCATCCAGTGTGTATAAATCAGTTGAAACTACTTCCCAACAAAAACAGTGTTTACTACTGTTTGTAAATTTGAGCCTTTTAAAAAAGATAATGTATTTTTGTGTTATTTACATCTTCAGCAGGAGCCGGGGTACCTGGAGTCCCATAGCAGGGTGGGGAAGTCAGTAAGCACCTGGGACACAGAATGAAACATTTTTACTTTTGGTGTTTTCATGGGATTTGTTGAACTTCTGGGGGGAAAAAGCCAGCTGTATCCTTCAAAGCTCATCTCATCTTCTCATGAGGAAACCCTGTAACAGACCATCAGCTGCCACCATTATAACCGCCAGTTCCTAATCTGGTCTGCATCATTGGGGCTCGGTCCTGTTGCTGGTATTACCGACTGAGGGAGATTGGAATTCCTGTCTGATTGATTTACCGGGGTATTGACTGGCAGACCACTCACGGTGTGCTCTATACAGACTGATGTGCGCATGTGTGTATTTTGAGTGTCTGAGAAAAAACAGGAGGTGCTCGTTGCAGAAGGGTCCCTACTGTAATTCACAAAATCTGCTGTGAGGTGATGTATGGAGGGTCCAGAGACAGTATATGGAAATGAGTTGCCGTTAACACTCTCAGAGTAGGGATTCCCTCCCTACTGCTTCCCTGTGTATCAACTGTCTCATGAGATGGCTCACTGCCAGCCCCAGATTCATGTCTGTGTTGTTTGTTAGAATGATTCATGAGGAAAAACTGCCCTACTTTTAAAGGAGAAACCCAGCCCAGTGATCACCGCCTCTTTCAAGATGATGGATCAGACAAAACTGTCTTATTTTTCATGATCTCTGGGCGGTAATCTCGAATGGAGACATGATTAGGATACTTTTGCACTGACAATGAGATAAGGTTCATGTTTTTTTTTCTTTTTATAAAACCATTCACACTCCCCTCTCCCTACCACCTCCAATCATAGCCTGGCTTTCTGTCATCTACATGTCAACCCATTCAGGATCATCATTCATGTGTAATTTGAAATGTAAACATGCTCTATTCTTTCCTCCACCTCTCCTCTCTTCCTTCATTACTGCTCCAGGTGTTCCAGCGGTTACGTCTGTCTAACGGGGACGAGAGTGCCGCCCTTGGGGAGCTTTTGCGATGGAGGCGAGCGCAGTGTGAGGGGCGGGGTGACTGGAAGCACCGTCCGCCTCAGTCCCCACCCCTGCCCCCCACGCTGCTCTGGACAAACAGGAAGGCCTCTCCATGACAGAGGTTGTGTTCCCTCTCTTTCTCTTCAGCCACACTCACATATGCTCTTTTTTTTTTTTTTATGGACCAAGTAACCTCAGAGCCCAGGGACTAGGTTAAAGCTCCAAGCCCCAAAGCATGAGCCTCGTCCCTGGGCTGAAGGTCCTGCCGCTGCGCCTTTGACCTCGACTGTGGAGGATTCCCCAAATTATATGAAAGGAGCTCAGCACTCTGTGACACTGACTGCTGCCTGTGAAAAATGAGTGAAACAGATAGACACAGTAGAGGTTCATGGGGAGCAGCGTTTTTGTTTTTTATGATCAATGATTTTATTAAATATAAGAGACAGACAGAAAAATAAAGATGACATTATTATTTATTTTTCAGTTCTTCTGAGACAAAGGTATTAGGTCTATCAATGGGAGGCTGAATAAAAGAGCAGACTAGCAGTGTTTTCATAGTAGTCAGATATGAAATGGTCCCTTTAGTCCGTCTGAATCCGAGCCTATCATGTTGTTCTGAGCTCCACCCCAAAACATGGTGCTGATTATACTTGACGTGATGTCCTGTGACGTTCCCATGAGTGTGTGTGCACCCCCAGAGTCTCAGATCTCTCTGAAGTTTACAAGTCAACCAACGCCTTCGGACCCCTCCAGTTTTTTGCATCAGTGTACTGACCTAGACATGGGACCTTTTCAGGTACACAGCTCTCATTTAGCGTCTCACGTTTGGGCTCTAAGTGCTACTGCAGCCCTGGCAACAAGCGACCAGGGGTCAGGGTAACCTCAGTATAATATCCCAAGGTGCACTTCTCTTCCCCATTGTTACCACCAGCCTTTGAGGAACAGAAACCTCTGGCCAAAATGCAAACTACTGCACTAACCTTTACTAGTAAAAAAGAGGATCCAACAAAAAACAACCTGCTTTGGTTTAAGATATAAAGGTAAAGCTAAAATAACAGCTTTAGCTGACAGGTATATAGTTCATGTTGTGAACATGAAACTCTGTGCCAAAGTGACACAACTTGTGAAAGATATGTCTAAACAGTTATTATTATCAGTTATACAAAATGATGTATACAGTAGTCCCCATATACTCATATGTACAGACTGACATAAATGACCAAATCAAAACTGTTACTGCGGTTCAGTGAGTGATATAATGGACCGTTTCTAAACAGATCAAAAGAAGAGGAAAAAAACAACAGTCTACACTTGAAAAGTAGCGACTTAACTCTCATTGTGTCTCATTGTGTCTCGTCAACATCTGAACAGTTTCATGTGTTCAGTGTTGTTCAGGAAACTGTGCAGAGCTCAGGAACTCACGCACAGATGAACTCTATTCTTGTACAGATTCTTCCACCGGGGGGTTGTGTCCTCCCTTCATCTCTTTCCCCCCCACTTGACCCAAACAAGCAGACCCATGTCTGCCTCTTGGTCTTTGACCCTGCCCCCACCTTCCTAATGGATCAAACCGGCTCTACGGGTGTCTCCATGGTAACCGCTCTGTAAATACTGACCAGTGTTGTATGTTCTGGCTTTTACTATAGCAGAAAAGCACAGAGATCGAATTGAAAGACGAAGAAGAGATGAGATAATACTGTCTATGATGGTGAAACTGAGATTTAAGAATGTCTTGGGTTAGATGCAATGAGGTAAAGAGAAGAGGTTTATTTTAAAATGTGAATATCTTTTTTTCAGAATGATTGTCTATGGCTATGAAATTCTTTATACTCTATTTAACATTTGTTTTTTTCCCTCTTGACCCCTGTTGTTCTGTTCCTATGATGCAAGGCAGATGTTTTCATTGTATATGGATGTTTTATTGCACAATATTTATGTGGTGTCGTGTTGACTTCTGTAATGGGCTGGGTGTGTCTCCACAAGCTGTTTGATCTTTGAAGATCAGTCTGAATTGTTAGAGCCGCAAGGTATCAATAGCTCTAATTGATTTCTCATTCCCACTGATCATCCACAATGTGTCTGATTGATTCGGGCTTACGAATTAGCAGCACCATCACAGGATCGATCTCAGCTGCTGTCGGTGCATGAAGGTGCACAAATATTCAAGAGAAATTAGAGGCCACTGATATTCACAACAGAGATGGCAAATCAGCTGAGCTGCATTTTTTGACTGACTGGCTGAATGTATAAATACATATTTTTCTTTCACTGCCTGTGCACATCAATGAAACCCTGTGTATCTTATTACTGGAAAATGCATCTGTATCTAAACAGTGTACCTGACTGCTTAATGTGATTGTTGTCTTCAGAAGTTATGTATGCAGTCCATTTTTTTAAAGCAAGTTAATAACAATGCAGCATTTCTTAATAGGTATAGATTTCCTCCATGATTCACACCTGCTGGGATTGAGGTTGCATGAGTAGTTACTGCATTGCAGAACCATGTCGAACATTTTCATCATAGTATGATTCAGCTCATTCACACAAGGATTTAAACTTATCTGTGATCAAACAAAATAGAAAGGAACCAAGATCAAGCTAATCAAACCTTGCCAATGCCAATGAAAGATAATTTATAGCCTCTGTATTGGTCCTTCGTAATTTTTATAGTTTTGTGTATTACCGTGTTTACTGAAATCATGAAATGAGGAGATTGATTGTTTGTTTTTTTTGTCTTTTAAAGCATATGTGCTTTTTTACCTTGCATGACCACAGGTGGGCCCGGCCTGCTATAACATGCTCATGCTGAAAAGATTAAAATGTCTGTCTGATGTGAAGAACTGCTTCCCACGGCACTGTGAATCACCGCACTGTCCCCTGTCTCTCACCTAAACACTCGTCATACATTTACATCCACCTTTAACAAGGCCGTCCCACGCACATATCAACTCCATCATATACAATCCCTGATGACCTCGCTCAGTCTGTCGTAAGCGTTACCAAGCTCTGGCAGCCAGATTACTGCCAGTCATAGTTGTTAGTCAGGAATCTAAAAATCCTCTGCTCTGAGATCAGCTCTCTGGTGCTACAGCCAGTACAGAATGGCCATTTTATTGTCCCCAGTCCATGTATAGTTGTCCAGAGAGACACAATACCTTAGCACCTAAACAGGGGTATCTCACTGCCTTTCATAATGTTGTTTTTTATTGTAGTCTTTCTTTTGTACATGACATACAGTATATTTTAACCTGCATACATATGTGTTTGTGGAAAGAAAAAAGATTGTATGTGATATTTCATAATTATTATCTTCCCAATGTTTTATAAGTACTGTACATGTACAGCAATAAAGCACAATTGTGTCAATGCCAGTCTTTGTGTGTGTGTGTGTGTACGCATGAGAATAGTGCGTGTCAACTTGAGGACTCAGATGTAGTAATAAAAGTGTGGGTCTGTGTGATTGGAAGTGGAGGAATTTCAGATAATGTCATTACGCAGAATGACCCCTATTAGTAACATATGATTATATATCATATAATCGTAGCAGCATTTTAATGATGTAGCTAGCCAAGGTGACATACAAGTGAGTAGTTTAATCAATAGCAATGCATCATATTATAAAATGATTATAAAATACACATCAAAGTTCATAATAAAGCCTTTTGTGGTTCCAGAGGGAGCTGCTGAAAATCTGAAAGCCTGCCTCAAGTGATGACATTTGAGTATTTGAGTTGGTGTCAGTTGGAGCTGAAGACATGTTTAAAAATGTAAAAAAATCTTGGGGTGAGGAGTTAAAAAGGAGTGAGCTTACCTCTGTCAGTGGTTGAGTTGCATTGTGTAAGCACCAGGTTGTGACAAAGAAGAATACAAAAAAAAACATATATGTGATTCTGCTGCATTAACTTTAATCCTTTAAAAAAAGAGTATAGTAAGAGTACAATGCACAATAATTGGAGTATATATGTAGTATAAATCTGAAAAGTAACTGATTAAAATGGTGGAACACAGCAGCACACATGCTCACTTGTGGTAACTAATCATTGTAGGTTGTTTCGGTTTTAACTGTTCAAGTTTTGGATACCTGTTTATTTGATTTTTGCCTCAACCCCAATATAGCGGAGGTGAATTTAATTTGTGGTGCTCATTCCATACCACTAGCAGAATTTAGGTGAACTGACGCTTTAAGAGGTGTGATTTGTTTGCAAGGCCCAATATAATGCCAACGTGAAGTGACATTTCCCAGGATGAGAGGCAGCCCTTGCAGGTATTTACTAACCTGCAGCAGTTTCTGTTCAGAATCAGGTCAAGACAAGCACAAGTCATAGCTTGAACAGTTCAACAGCGTCTTCCCACATTAATAATCTGCTATTGTAATTTAGAGGAATGTTTCCCCAGAGCAGTAGTAACTGAAAGGCTTCACCTCAGAGTGTGGGAGCCTGTGTTTGAAGTTTATGTGTCAGTGTGTGTCACAGTAAACAGCTTCTACCACAGTGTGCTGACTCATACACACCCAGGCGTGTACAGTATTAGCTCTGCGATTTAAAAAAACAAAAAACGTAGGCAGTATAAAGCTGGAGAGAATGAAAGAGAATTTGCTAAATCATCAAGTTAACATGAAGTTTTATAACTAGGTTCGGGAACAAAGACCACGCCCCGAACTCACTTAATTTCCGTTGAAAACATACTTAAGCACACCTCAGAATCAGAATCAGAATCAGATTTATTGCCAGGTAGGTTTTTACACATACGAGGAATTTGTCTTGGTGCAATGGTGCTTAAAATATACAATCACACAAAAAAATAAAAAGATAAATATAT